TCGTTAATGGTGTAAAAGTGATATTATGTGTTTCCAAGAAATGCAATCTAAAAATTATTATAATTATTGGAATTTGAAATTACAAAAACAAGGTTATGAAAGTTGTTTTATTAAAAAGACAAGACCTATATATTGGGAAAATATACCTGAAAATGAATTAAAATATGAAGATGAAATTGATGGAATCTCAATTTTTTATAATAAAGAAAAATTTGAATGTATCGATTTGAAGAAATTTCAAATATCACAATATTTTAAAGAAGAATTTCAAAATAATTATGATTTAAAATTAAATCATATGCAAATTAATAATATTTTCAATACAAGAAATCAAGTTGCTTTGATTATGGTATTAAAGCATAAATTAACAAATCAAATATTCATTGTGGCTAATACTCATTTATATTGGAAATTAAATGATATCAAATTATTACAAGTTATGGTTTTATTAGAAGCATTGGGTAAATTTAAATCAAAATATCCTGGTGCTAAAATTTTATTTAGTGGTGATTTTAATTCTCAACCAAATTCATCAGTTTATAATTTTTTACAAAATGATAAAATTAATACAATGGATCCAGATATTTCTAAATATTTAATTGAAAAAACTAAAAAATTCATTATAAATCCAGTGGAAATTCCAAATAATATTTTGGAACAAATTATTAAAAACGATAAAAGTAATGAATTGTTTACATGTTATACCCAACATTTATTTGGTATTTTTGATTATATTTGGTTTAATGATAAAGATTTCCAATTATTGAAAATGTTGAGTGGAGTTGATCAAAATTATTTATCTCAAATTAAAGGTTTACCAAATGAGGAATTCCCAAGTGATCATATTCCATTAGTTGCTGAATTTGGTATTAAAATATGACATTGGAAAATATCACAACTCTACATTTACCATTATTTATTATTTATTTATTATGATTATTATATACGACTATTAGAAATTTAAATCATTTCTTGTAAATATTGTCATACCAAATCCTCTATATCTTTTAAATTTGATATATCACCTCTAATACTCTTATTCATAATTTCCAATTCTTCAGGTGTTAATTTCCCAACTTTCCGTAATAACCCTCTATCAACATTTGAACATAATTTTGTTGAACTTAAAGAGCATAAATCACATCTTCTACCTCTTGGTAAACAAATACTTTGACCAAATCCAACAAGTAATGGATTAATCTCTTTCCAATATTCCTTGGGCATCCATTTTTCTAATTCTTTCCTTGTAATTTCTGGATCTTTAACAGTTTTCGGTACCCACCCCCATTGTTTACTTAATCTATGAACATGTGTATCTACTCCAATCCCCAAATTTAAATTCCAACCTTCTTGTAATGTTAAAAAGGCCATTTTAGGTCCAACACCTGGTAAACTTATAAGACCTTCTAAAGTATTTGGTATATCACTTTGGAATTGATTTTGTAAAATTTCAGCAGTTTTCTTTAAATATCCTGATTTCCTTTTATGAAATCCAACACTATAAATTAATTCATCTAATTTAATTTCATCAATCCATAACATTGATTCAATTGTAATACCATCTTTAAAACCTGCTTCATTTATGAAATAATTACGCATCTTAGTCATAGCTTGATAATTTACTTCATCTTTAGTTTGAGAAGATAACATTAATGAAACTAATAATTGAAATCTATAGATTTTTTGAGTTATTGGGGATTCTTGATTTATTGTCTTGGGTATATTTGCACACCCCATTGTATCAACTGGTGTTATTATTTTGGATCTCATTGTTTTAACATGATTATAAATATCATGGAAATTTTTGGGTATTGGATTTGATTCTATTTCAACTTTAACAGATGGTTTTGGAGTTTTACGACGTTTAGGACTTCTAATTGGTAACACATCTTGTTCTTCTTTCTTTTTGATTACTGTTTCCACAATTTGAATATTATTATCAATTATTTCTTCTTTAATCTCTGGGATTTCTTTAATCTCTGGGATTTCTTCAATATCTTGTTCTTTTTTGATTTTCGGTGTGAAATATTTAGATCTTATTGGTGATGAAGAAGTGGGTAGTCTAACTATTCTATTGGATCTTCGTAGACTCATATTATATTCTGTTTATTCTGTGTTCAATTTAGTTGTTGATTGATGGCAATTTTGCTTACAAAAACTAGATTTTTATTGGATCCCGGATTTATAAATTTTCATACTTTATATGAGGAGCCATAACGGTTGAGACAAAAAGAATGTGACAAACTTTACAAATTTTGAAAAACTTCATTTAGAACTGAAAATGATATTATAATATATATAAATCTATATCAAAATTAATGCTAAATAAAAACTATTCATAGGCAAAAGACAAATAAATAATAACAACAAATGTAGTTATACAAATTACTCCATGATAAATATTAATTCCATGAGTCATTCCATTAATAACACATAATGAAAAAAATATTGCAGTAACTAATAAATAAGCTGCAACATAATCATCAAAATATAATAATAATTTAGCCTGAGGATAATGAGAACTAACAAATTGAATTATTGGTAATACTAAACCTAAAATTTGATTTGTACTCCCCACGGTTAAATGTAAAACAAGATCTAATTGACCTTTATATGCACTTATAATTGATGAAATATGTTCAGGTAATGCATTTGCTAATGGTAAAAGTATTAAACCAACGAAAATCTTGGAAATTGGTTTATTATTTGTTAATGATCTTAATGAACTTACGAAAAAACTTGCACATGGACCTAGTCCAGCACAACCTAAAAACAAAGCACCAAAACATGCTAATTTTGAAGGTAATCTTTTCTTATGATGATGTTCATCATGGTGCTCATGATGATGATGCTCCCCTTCCTCTTCTTCATCACTTGATTCAATTATTCCATGTTCTTCTTCATCTTTTGCCTTCATAATTTTCAACATTCTAAAATCTTCATTTATATTAACAGCTAAATAAACAATATAATTAAAGAGGATAAACGAAGCACCAACTTGTATTTTAAATTTCATTGAAATTTTTTGATCATTACTTTCTGCAAATGACATCATTGTTAATAATAATGTTATACATATGAAAAATAATAAATGACTTGAAATTGATTTTGTTTGATGTAATGGTTTACCTTTTAAACCACCAAATATAAAACATGAACCTGTAATGAATAAATTTTTCAAAAGAATACTACCCACAAGGGATGATATAGTTAATGAGGCATCTTCTTCTGCCACTGTAGTACCTGATATAACCAGTTCCACTAAATTACCAAAAGTTGCATTTAATAAAGAACTAACAACTGGACCAAAATGTTCAGCTGCAACTTCAGTTGTATTACTTAAAATTTTAGCAAAATACATTAATGCAATGAATAAGAAAACAGCAGCGAAAACATGATGATCTCTTTTATAGAAAACAATACCAATGGGGAAAAATGGTAAAAAAATTGCAGTTCTTGTATCTAAAGCACATCTTAAAATTCTTAAAATTGGTCCAATAATAAATATATGTTCCCATTTTTGATATAATTTACAACATTTCTTGATGATTCCAATTTCCCAAAACCAATCATAAATTGAATCGAAAATTTTAAAGATTTTATAAATGAATTTTTCTAAAAAATTTTCAAAATGCTTTATAAATCCATAATAGTATGAAACTTCAGGTTGCATTGTTGGTTTCCTTTCTAATAAACGTTTGGGTATATTATATTCATTTTCATCTGAATTTAGATTCCCAGGTGAAGTTTGTGATCTTTTGGGTAAATTAAGACTTTGATCAGGTGGTGTATCAAATTCTTTTTCGTCAAATTGTGGTTGATGTTCATGATGTTGTTCTTGTAACTCAATATCATGTTGAAACTTGAAAGTCTTGAGAACGTGATTGGTGAACTTGTTCTGATGTCAAATCATTGGCTGAATGGAAAGTCTGAGATCTCTTTGGTGTATTCATATCAATATACTAACACGTAGTTTATCTAATATATCAACTGTTTTTTACCCTGAAAGATTTAATTTCCTATTGTTTGTATACGTTATTTTAAATTTTTGAAGGCTTGTTTAGCAAATTTCACGTTTAACCCAAATAGGATAAATCATAGGTGACATCATCAGCTTTGGGTGATAATCTGAACAATAAGATCAATCTCAATAAAAGTAAACAAACCGTTAAACTTTTTAATTCATTATACTTAATCTGTGTTAATGCTCTTTTGTTTTCGTCTTTATATTATATACTTTTTCACGAGTATAATTGATTTCCTGGTCAACCACTAAATTTGTCTCAATTTAAACTTCTCCGTAAATTTGACAGGACCCCCGTAAAATAGAGATCGAAAAAAGTATATATTATTAAAAAGGGTTTCCTATTATAGGGTGAAAGTTGCATGAGAATAGTATCACATTTCACGAGGGAACATACTACAGAGTGTATATACCGATTTATCAATAGACATTTTCATAAACTAAAAAAAAAAAAAAAAAAATAGAGAAAAAAATAGAAAAAAGGGTTTCTACACTAGAATCATACAGAGATTGTAGTGAAATCATGTCTTTGTTAGTTTTATCTTGTCTTATTTCATATTTGATGAGTTTTTTGTGTGGGATTCTGATAAGTATTAAATTGTTATCGGAAATTCAAGGCCGTTGATCCTGGTACTAAATATTATGGCTTACGGAATCTGGATATTGCATAAAATTGACGGAAAGTTGAAAATTATATATATGTAATTAAATATTATTTGGGTTCTAATGATTGTCATTGAATATATATTAAATTTTAAATTATAATTATTTTTATGAATTTAAATAATATATATTTTAAATAATTTATATAATATATTTCAATAATTTTATCAACCTCATAATTTTTATTTCCATTTCAAAATCTTTGAACTCTCAAAATATAAAAATTTCAAACTTACAAAAACTAGCTAGAAAACATATTATAATGAAATTCACTTTGAAAATAACCCAAATATGTATTTTCAAGATCAAAATATTACCCATTTTTAATCAAGTTATTGTCTATTATAATTACTAATATATTTTGAAAAATAGATTATATAATCACAGTGCTACAGCTGAGTAATCGTAATAACTTACATTAATGACTAATGACACATAATTTAAACAGATTTTGGTTTATTCAATAAGGTGAAATGTGGTTTGTACTTGTACATGTTTGTGACAACTTTTCCTCTTCCTGGTTGAGTGTTACGAATTTCACTTGTCTCTTGGAAATCTGACATTCCACTAACGAATAAAGAAGTATCAGTATCATGGAAAATTTTATCAGATGATAATGTTTCCACCATCAATTTGATAAGCGATTTGACTTCAGTATCTGAGGCAAATATTCTCTTTTTGATTTTGATATTATGTGAAGCTATCGCACCATCAATTTTCATCTGTTGTCCGTCGAAGCTTGGGGATTCTTTAAATTGTTCAGGTGATAATACATATTTCTTATATGGATGATTCTTTTGAAGCCCTTCTTTTGAAGAAATATTTAATATTTCACTTCTTTCACCTGAATCATAAGATTTGAAAAGTTCAGAAAGATGGATCAATTCATTGAAATATACTTTGTTAGGGAAAACTTCATTTGCTGTATTGTAAGGTACTTTACTAAAACTATGAGCATCAAAATTTTTAGATATACCTAATTTAGGATGACCCCATCTACTCTCACCCCTTTTGAAAAGTTGATGTGAGTCTGTTCCATAAAAGAAATCGTCTATTTTAATTTGAATTTTTGATGATGAGCTACCAATTCTTCCGTAATTCTTCAACACATGGTTAATCTCAGAATCATAGATCAACTCCTTATACCCATGTAATACCGAAATATCAACACTAATAGACTTGAATTTTTTATTGATTATCGAGTCAGGATTATTGATTAGATGAGGAATTAAAAACTTGATTTTTTCATAATTTGTGATAACTAATGTTTTCTTATCACGAATACGAATTGGATCAACATAATCAACATCTAAAAATTCATACTTAAACTTAGAGCTTTCTAAATTTCGTTCATAAATAGAGTGAAAATCACATGGTTTATCAGGGAAATCTGGACCTTCTCTCACGAAGCAAGCATCATTTTGTTTCATTTTTTTAGTAGAACTTACCACTAACAATAATTGCAAGTTTTCATATCCATTACCACCACCAAAAGCATAGGGTGCCAACTCATTGAAAATTGTTTTATTAATATGAAGAACTTCTTTTATGACAGCACCTTCAAGCATAATTTTTTCCCAAATTTCTATGGGGAAAGGACCTAAGACTGTTTTCTCATGCTCGGATTTTTGAGTGATTTTATTGTTAGCTTCTTTTTCTTCATTTAAAGATTTCAAATATTGTTTAGATTCAATCAGGGGGAAGAGTGATTGTTTGATATCTGCTGACATTTTAAAGTATAGTAAGCTTTATTAATAAGTTGATGTAGTTGATAATATAATTGTATGTTTAAATTGTATTGTAATTTAAAGCTATTATATTATCATGAAGGATTTCAAAGAAAAAGATGAAAACCAAGGACTTTCAAGGATATTTATAATTTCTTTATGAGCACCATGTATCAATTGTTGCTTTCAACTTTGAGAGCTCTTGAGTTATTTGACGAGTTATGTGAGTTAACAAATTTAATTTGGAATGTTGAAGTTTGAGACTTTTATATGAGATATTTCATTTCCCCGAGCTTAATCAAACTTTGAGAAAGCTCTATAGCCAATGTACATATCATTTAAATCATTTGTTATATTACAGTGTTAAATTGTCCTAAAGATCTTTTTCATCAAATATTCATAAACTATCCAACCCAAAATCAAATTGTTACTATTCTTCTATTCCTGTAACCTTATATTGTAAATATGTAGGATCTTGAAAAAAGAATTTCCCTCTCGGATTACAAGATGAGACTAAGAGCTTTGAACATGAGACTATTTTTAAACTCTAGTACCTTTTTTCAAACACTTAGACTAAAACTTTCTTGAGATAGAATATAATAAAAGAAATCGAATATTATATACTTAATCAATTCTGATTACTTAATACTAAAAGCGCGAAAAAATTCAATACTCAAAATTATTATTAGTATATTAACAAGAACCATTTCATCATTATTAGTGAATATACACCATACAACTGATACAAAAATGTTTTCTATTGGATCCATACTACCACAAGTAAAGGCAAAATCTCAACAGTCACAACAACAACAAAACACTCAAAGTGGGAATCAACAAGTTGTGTTAGCTCCCCAACCTGAAAGACCAAACCAAAATACTAATATTGATTATTCATTAATACTACGAAATGATTCAAATAAAGAAAGAGCTATACAGTCAACACTTGAAGATGTGATACCTTTGAAACAACGTCAAAAAAACATATCATTAGCTAAACCTTCACAATTGGAAATTGATGAAACAACTGAAAGAACAAGAAAAGCTTTAGATGAAATATTACAAAAAAAATTAGGTAAATCAATTAAAACAAATTCTCATAAAAACCCTGAATATATTAGATATACTTCGTCAAATATACTTGATAATAATCCAACTTCTTCAAGAATCATCAAAATTGTTGATGCTCAAGAAGATCCAATGGCTCCAATTAAATTTAAACAGAAAAAAAACATTGCAAGACCTTCATCACCACCTGCACCGGTATTACATGCTCCAACAAGGAAAGCCACTGCAGAGGAACAAAAACAATGGTATATCCCACCAGCTATATCAAATTGGAAAAATCCAAATGGTTTTACTATAGCTTTAGATAAGAGATTAGCTGTTGATGGTAGAGATCCAAATCGTGATGATACCCAAGGTGAAATTAATTCAAATTTCTTAAATTTAGCAAATGCTTTAGATGATGCTGATAAAAAAGCTCGTGAAGATATTAAACTTAGAAATGCAATGAAGAAAAAAATAGCTGAAAAGGAAACTAGAGAAAAAGAAGAAAGATTAAGAATCTTGGCTCAAAAAGCTCGTGAAGAAAAAGGTATAACTTCTGGGAATTTTAATTCAAGATATGAAAATGAAAATGATGAAGTTAAAAAAAGAGCAATGATTAGAGAAGAAAGAAGAAAACAAGCTGAAAAGGAATTAAGAATGTCAAGAATGGGTAAAGAACAAAAAACTCAAAATTTAATAAAATCATTAGGAAATCGTGAAGTTTCAGAAAGAACTAAATTAGGTCTTGCTAAACCAACAAATTCAATTGAAAATCAATTTGATTCAAGATTATTTACAAATTCTACTCAAGTTACAAATAGTGAAGATCAAGTTTATGATAATCCATTATTTGTTCAACAAGATGTTAATAATATTTATAAAGTTTCGGATTCAATGAAAGGTTCAAATCAAAATGATCCAGATTCTCAACTAGAATCATTACAAAACGAGAAAAGATTTGATTCTATTGGAAATTCTTCTTCAAATCAAGGTCCTATTGAATTTCAAAAAGATGAAACAACTCATGAATCTAAAATTGATGAATCTGAATATGGATTACGAATTAAAAGACAAAAAAACAATGAGTAATGTGATATATATATACTATATACATGTAATGCAAATGATGGGTTTTGGGTATTAATGCTAATGGTTTATTTGTAAATTTAATCTTCATCTTCGTCTTCAGAAATTTTAGAAAAATCATCTTGTTCAAATTCTTTTAATTTTAATTCTTTCATTAATTTTTTATTTCTATCAATAGCACTTTGTTCACATTTCCTTATTGTACCACTAATTTTAATAATTCTGAATATAACATCTTTACCATTTAACTTATTTATAATTGTTAATGCTGCACAAATTAATTTATAATATTCCCTGGAGCATCGTATTATACCAGTTGAAGTTTTCTGTGAAAAATATTTAACAATGATTGAAATCCCTGCAGTTCCATAACCTTGATCACCAAATAAAAGTTGAATATTACGTTTAACTAATTCTGATAATGCTCTTAAATTAACATTTTGTGATGTTGAATGATGTTGTAATAAACAAGTTTTTTTTAAATAATTTTCTTGTTCTTTTTCTAGATTTGGATATATAACATCAAATAATATATATCTTGCCTTTAAACGAACCATTGTAGAGTTTTATTGATCTATTAATCTATATTTATTAGAATTTGTTATATAGAATTAGCTGAAAGTAATTCAAAAGTCTATATGGTTTTTAAGTTCCGGTGACATAAGAAAAATTTAATTCCGACCCATTCAATAATTATTTCAAATTCCAGATTAGGAAATGACTAAAAGAAAATGTTGTGTGTTTTATTAAAAACAATCTATTCTATCAGATTGTATATTGTTTGAGATTATAAATTAAAAACGATAATTTCCAAAAATCCAACAGTTGTCTGATTCATAACTTCGATAAAGATTGAGTGATAATTGAGTGATATGAAGACTTTCAATAGTTTTGTACCATGTGCTTTGGAAAACTATGTGAACTCTACAAATGCTACAAATGCTAAATACAATCAAAGATTCATTTTCAACAGCTAAACAAATACCAGCTAATTATAACAATCAACTAAAGGTGACGGTTGATCTCATCTGTAATATCCATATCTTCACCATCAGCTTCTTCTGCATCGTGTGTACCAGCATCATCAATAACAACACCACCAACACCTGCATCTCGAGCATCAGCACCTTCAACGTTTCTATCATCATTAATATGTCCACCATTATTGTTACTTGATTCAAGATTTACAAGCTTTTCAATTTCTTCATCGCTTGAATCCAAATACGCAGGTGGATTCATTCTTCTTCTTCTATCAGCCTGGGCTTTGTGGAACTTGTTAACGTTGCTGGTGATTAATCGTGTAATGTACGAGGCTGGTGAGTTCAACACTTGACACCTCTTCTTTAACTCAGTAATATCTGAATCGATCATCAGATCAATTGTTTGATCCCCATGATCAATTAACCAGTCGTACATTCTCCTATACCTCTCTTGATAATATATGTCTATAATTGTCAGCTAAAGGATTCAACATTGACAAACTGCATTGATACTTACGCAGAATCTCTGCAACTTTTTGAGTTGTAGTTTTTGGACGAGGCATTTTATGGGTAACGTAAGTTCACAATGATGATCAAGATAGTATAAAGTTGATAACCTGAAGCTGATTAAAATCTTAAAGTGGCAATTTTGCCTTTTTATACATTACACAAACTCGGCGGTTAATATAAATGGTAAGGTGATTTAATTTTTGAAATGAAAATGTTCAAGTAGAGCACAAAGAATGAATGAATTACTTACATGTGTTACGATTACTCAAAAGTTATAATCTGAAATTGTGTCTGTATGGAGTTATAATGGCGTAATTCATAATAGTATAGTGCTGGTATAGGTTGATTTCAGAAATGTTCAATCACGAATAATGTAGGTTTGTAGTATATTTCTGGAAGATTGGGGCCTACTACAACACAAATTTCAAAAGATAGTTTGTATGGATAATGAAATGATATGATAATATCATTCATCTTTTAAATGATCATTTTTTTCTCTATCAAAGAGTATAAAATTGAGCTATTTGTATGAGAGTATTCTAATATAATTCGAGCTTATATTTGAGCGCATAAATATAATGCTCAAATTAAATTAGTGAAGCAGAAGTATAAATACTTTTCATAAAGTAAGAGTACACAATGTACTTAGTAGATCCTAAAGTAAGCTTCGATTAGCAATAGAAGAGACATCATGATGGATATCAAATCAGGAATCACTGATGATGTTTTTCATCCATCTCTAGATACACCAAAGGAATCAGATGATAATGTTCAGCATACACCAAAAAAGTTAGATGATTTACCTGCTGATGTGTTATATGAGCTTTGCAATTACTTAGACCCAATTAACTTAATGAAAACCAATAGGTATCTATGTGATGTATTTGCGCCATATTATTATGATAAAATATACTTATTTCTTGTTCTTACAAAAACTGATTCAGAGAGGAAAATGGATATGCGTCATTTACAAGTTGGGGCTGAAGTTGTCTATGATCACAAAGGCGTTAAACAGTCACTAGCCGAGAGAATTATGAAAAGAACGTTATATGATTATGAAGTTTTAGATACAGGTGTTGATAATGAATATTTGAAAACTGCAGATGAACATTTAACTCCAAGGTTTTCAAGATTAAAACTTAAACGAAAAACTATTATACCAAGTGTTATTTATAAATACGATCAAATAATTTGTATATTGGAACATGTCATTAAAAACCCAAATTCTAGACTACGAAGATATATCAGAAAAATAATGGTTAATGTTGCAATTTTTGATGGTTTCCCAGAATTAATAACAAATGAAGGCTGTTCGATTCAACAAAAAATTGAAGAATTGAGGATTGAGAATAGATCAGAAGTCTTGATCACAGATCAAATCTCAAACACTATGGATATTACCATTCAACCCAAAGTATGTAGATGTCATACACCATTGACCACAATGCCTTTCGAAACTTTTGAAAGCAAAGACAAATCAACTGAGTATCAATATACTCCATACTGGAGAGAACAGATCCTTGTTGGTGCTTTATATCACTATTATTACAACAATTGGAGAATTGGTATCTTGCAAGAAAATACACAAGAGAGATTCGAAAAAGTGAATGCGTTTTCGATATTAAAAATTAAAATGACATATATTTATAGAGTTTCAAACTTGAAGGAAAAAGAAAAATTAAAAGATGAACACGCAACCCATATCCAAGGATGTGTAAGGTTAGAAAACAAATCATTTGTTACTAAAAATACAGTTGAAACTTTATTGGAAGATTTGATAGATCTAATGGGATCAAATTCTATTTGTGGTAATATGGATTGTTCACTAATATTAAGTGGTATTTTAGATTACAAAATGGGATTTACAAATCCAAAGGCATTATCTATAGATTTAGGAATATTGAAACCAACATTCATAATGATCAATAGAAAGCCAAATACAAACTAATAAAAATGAAGTAAAAGTGTTTTACTAATCTGATAAATTCAATCAATGATATTCAATGTATTTAGTTTTAAAGTTTATCTATGAATTGTAATGTGTATATATCGTAGAAAAATAAAGACATACGTACTAAAATATTATGAATTGCACACAAAATCCTCGATGGGCTGCTCATCCTCATCACATCGTGACCTTAACATCGACCAGAGCCTGAACACACATACATACAGATACCGAAGATAATTTGTAAAAGCCATACAGAACTAGAAAAAATTGTAAAGAAAATACATGAGAAGCATTTACAAGTCATATTGATATTGAATGAACTATGCAATACTTAAAGAGAGCTCAAAAGCGCTCAAAAGATCTCATATATTGCTCAGTATTTATGAGGTGTTTCTATGAGTTCACGTTTTACTAGCGGGTACTCACTTATACTCACATTGTAGAATATTCTCACAAGGAGAAAATATAAGATAATCTTTCATTCTGAATATTAAAATAATTGAATTAATCAGATGAGACGAACAAATCCTTTTTGATATCATACTCCCACAGCAGAAACACCATGAATACTGTAAAAGACAGATCCAACTGCACTACTGATCATTGTCAGAAGGATTTCAGTGACACACAAGTAACTTCTCAAGCTCCAGTTATCACCCTTGCTGATTTACCTATTGAAATTTTATATGAGATTACCAGTTATGACGTGAGTCGAAAAAGTCTCATGGAAACCAACAAGTATTTCTGTGACGTTTTTGGCCCATACTTTTATTCTGACATTAATATACTTCTTGTATTGACAGACATCAATCCAGAGATTTTCAAAGAAAATTATTTCTTTACTAGAGTTGGGTTCGAGACTATTTGTGATCACAAAGGAGTTAAAAAAC